ATCCTACAGCTGCTTTGTTCATTTTTCTTTTTAAAGACGGAAGGCCCCTCTACATACTCCGCCTTGGCCAGATGGACACCAAAGGGCTCGTCAAAGCCCTGGGAGAGGAGTCGCTCCTTCGTCACGTAAGAGACGACTTAAAAAACAACACATATATAGTTTTGATGGCTTCAGTTTCTGTAGAGCTGCTATAGAAGAAGTGGGTGGGTCTTTGGCGCCTTTCACTGAGCTCTTAGCTAGTTTGGTGTAGCTGTTAAGAGCATGAACTCTAAGCTGGGAGAACTGGGTTGGATTCCTCACTGCACATGCAGCTGCTGGAGTGACCTTGCGGGGTTTGCCCCGCAGCAGGAAAAAAAGGGGGGGGAATTATGTCTGTCTTCCTCCTTAATTTAAGATATTGTTATTACTCGCAAGGCTCGGAACGGCGTGAGGACGCGAGGCCCTGCTGTAGTAACTGCTACCTGTCCCCATTTTCCTTCTGTAAGCCGCTCTGAGACTCCGGGTGAAGAAGAGCGGAGTATAAATCTGAAGGAATCACACGAGACAACTCTCTCGAGGGTAGAGAAATCTGTCTGCCTTTCAAGGCAGCAAGAGTTTATTTTATACACACTCTGCCCCCCTCACCCACCGTGAGGTGAGGCTGGGACTTGCACGTACAGAAACAGGGGAAAACAGATACTTTAGGGAGGGTGTCTTAAGGATGCTTACATAGTACAATAATTAACAAGCTACTCTCAGCTTTAAAATGCCCACTGGTACAGGATGTGCAAAGGTCAGGACTCTTACTGGATCAGAGTCACTGATCAATCCAGATGTTTACAGAGTCTGGAAATATGGGCCCGAACCAGGACAGGTGTGCCTTATCGCTGAACCTTGCCCACATAAATCCAATCTCCTTCCTAAACTGAAGGGAATGAAAAGAAGAAGCCAGGCCGACGTCTCACACCGTTTTTGGCATTAGTGTCCGATTTTGCTAACGCAGTGAACATACCGGATGCTTTGCCTGGAGGGGGAAAAAATGGTTCCCGAAGAAGTCAGAGCCTGAGCGGAGGGGCCGAAATGTGCCCGGGAGTCAGAGCCAGTCACCTCTGTCCCTGGAGGAGCTCGAGCGAGGACTGGCGGGGTTTGCCCTGCAGCGGGAAAAGGGGGGGGGAGTTATGTCTGTCTTCCTCCTTAATTAAGACATTGTTATTACTCGCAAGGCTCGAAACGGCATGAGGACACGAGGCCCTGCCGTAGTAACTGTTACCTGTCCCCATTTTCCTTTCCAGGTGCTGTCCATCAACGAGGAGGGACAGAAGAGGTGCGAGGAGAACACCAACCTCTTCGGCCGCCCCATCACGTGAGTATGCCACCCCCCACCCCCCAGTGAGATGCAGGAGTCCTCCCCCCCCCTCCTGAATGGGCTCGATGTGGCAGAATGTGGATTGGGGGGGCTTGGCCGGCCATGTATAAGGGATGCATATTTTGGCTTCTCCCACAATGCCTTGCCGTGTGCCTCTTGTTAAGAGACGCCTTGTTTGACTGTGACCTCCAGCTCTTGCAGAGTTTGCATTCCCGTCCTAAGCTGTGCCGTCTCCAGGGCTATTTTTGGGCAGGAACGCACAGGAACGGAGTTCCGGCTGGCTCCTGAGTTGGCCACGCCCAGCAGGAACTCATTAGCATAATAGGCCCCACCCAACAGCAGAAACTCATTAGAATTGGCTACATTTAGGAGTGTGTGGCCTAACATGCAAAGGAGTTCCTGCTACAAAAAAACCCCTGGGTTTTGACAAAAAACAAGGTAAACAGAATAAGGAGCAAAAGGTGGGTGTGGCCTAATATGCTAATGGGTTTCTGCTGTTGGGTATGGCTTATTATGCTAATGAGTTCCTGCTGGGCTTTTTCTACAAAAAAAGGCCCTGACCGTCTCCATAGACAAAACCCTGTAGATTAAGATTTGGTATGTCTCCTGGTCAAGTCAGGAGACTTGCTCTCTGCTCCCCATGACCTGGGGCTGTTCAAGGTTCACCGTGGGTTTTTTTCTCTCCGTAAGGAGGGGGTCTGGGTATTGTTACATTCTCACCCTTGCCTTGCGTTCCTTTGGGGGTAAGAAAGTATATATACAAGGGTCCTTGCAAGGGGAAGGGGCTGCCTACTTGATTGCCAGTTCTGGCCATCGTGGGTAGGCGGAGGGATCCCTTCTTTTTGAATTTTCTGCTTGAGTACTCTTTGAATTTTGTTTGAGATCAGTACAATAGTTGTAGCTGAAGCCTTGTGTCCTCTTCTTTCCCTGACTGATCTGAGGGCCCTGGCTGGCTCCCATCCCACTTGGGGGACCCAGGGAAGACTGAGAGCAGGTGGGCTCCCCTCTCACCTTCCCCAGCGGTTCTTTCCCACAACACTTGACAGGCTCCCCCTCTTTCAGGTCCTGGACCTGCCTCGTCGACCTCGAAGGGCTCAACATGCGTCACCTCTGGCGGCCGGGCGTCAAAGCTCTCCTGAGGATTATCGAGGTGGTCGAGGACAACTACCCGGAGACGCTCGGGAGACTCCTGATCGTGCGCGCGCCCCGTGTGTTCCCTGTTCTGTGGACCCTGGTGAGTGACATGGAGGCGGGTCTCAGGCAAGGAGGACTAATTCAGCGCCCAGAGTAGATGGCGGGAGGGCTCTAACTCAGAGTGGCTTTTGCTGTCGGTTCCAGGTGAGTCCCTTCATCAATGAGAACACCAGGCAGAAATTCCTCATTTACAGCGGCAACAACTATCAGGGCCCCGGAGGGCTTGTGGACTATCTGGACAAAGATGTGATCCCCGACTTCCTCGGTGGCGAATGTGTGGTGAGTTTGGTTTGGAGTCGACACACCTTTAAGGCAAAGGTTTCCTCTTTTTAAAAATTCTCTTCGGGATTAAAGCTTTGCAGATCGGTGGATGATTTCCTGGGGGTGGTTGACTGTAGAAACTGCCCGGGTTTTTGGAAAGAAGCCTGCAGAAGCTTTAACTCTTTGCATCCATGGTGTGCTTGTGAGCATGTGTGAAAACTGCCTTACACTGAACCAGACCAATCATGGTCAGGATTGTGTACTCAGACTGGCAGCGGCTCTCCAGGGTCTCAGGTGGAGGTCTTTCCCATCACCACCTGCCTGGTCCTTTTTAACAAGAGATGTCGGGGATTGAACCCGGGACCTTCTGCATGCCAAGGAGAGGCTCTGCCACTGAGCTACGGCCCCTCTTGACAGCTCTCCAGGGTCTCAGGATGAGGTCTTTCCCATCACCTGCTGCCTGGTCCTTTCGACTGGAGATGCCGGGGATTGAACCTGGAACCTTCTGCATGCCAAGCAGAGGCTCTGCCACTGAGCCACAGCCCCTCTTGACAGCTCTCCAGGGTCTCAGGCGGAGGTCTTTCCCATCACCTACTGCCTGGTCCTTTTTACCTGGAGATCCTGAGGATTGAACCGGGGACCTTCTGCATGCCAAGGAGAGGCTCTGCCACTGAGCTACGGCCCCTCTTTATAGCTCTCCAGGGTCTCAGGTGGAGTTCTTTCCCATCCTGGTCCTTTTTAACAAGAGATGCCGGGGATTGAACCGGGGACCTTCTGCATGCCAAGCAGAGGCTCTGTCACTGAGCTGCAGCTCCCATTGGCTGCTGCAGGCCCCTGCTTTACAGTCAGATTTGAGCTCCTTTATGTGAAAGAGAAGGGCAATGAGATTATAAACCAAGTTCCATATCTAGCCAAGAGGAGCACAGTGGTTTCCTGCTAGAAGGAAGGCTCCACCAGCCTCCTGGATGTCGTATCAGTTCAGCGGACAAATGCCGTTATTTGGAATCGTGTCTCCAGGCACCAGATTTAGTACGCAGCGTAATACGTTTTTGCTTCCTTTGCACGGCGACAAGCGCAGAGAGGATTTTAAAAAAAAGAATGACAAAAGACCCTTTCCCTTTCAGACCACTGACAAACCTTTAAAACAGTTTGCTCTGGTTTTACGGGGGCAGCGTGCCTGGCCTGGCACGGCCTCCGGCTTCCTCAGCGGGAAGCCACTTGCTTGGTTTGCCTCCTCCGACAACCTGTGGATGCACACTTTGCATGTAAACATTTGCTCACTCGTGCCCAAATCCCCTGTGTCCCTGCCGGTTCGTTCCCACTCTCCTTGCTCACTCCTCTGGTCCTCTATGTTCTGCAGACACCCTTCCGAGGGGAGGAGGAATTCCTTTCCACGCGAACCGACTTGGGCACATCTCACCAGCCGTCTTGTCCCACCCCCTACCCTTCCCCGCCTCGGTCCTCTGTGTTGCCCGCTCTGCTAGGCTTTCCTTTGCTCGGCGACTTGCCCCAGTGCGGCCAGCGGAGTCGCCCTGCCGTTTGGCACTGTTCAGAAGTGTTTATCTGTGTTCCATGCTGGACTCCCGATCTCCCTCTCCCACCCTCCCCCGCAGTGCAACGTGCCTGAGGGCGGACTCGTCCCCAAATCGCTGTATCAAACCGACGAAGAGCCTGAAACCTCCGACCACATCCGCCTCTGGACAGAAACCATCTATCACTCTGCAAGTGTCTTCAGGGGAGCTCCCCATGAGGTAGGAAGGGGGGTGGCGGCGGGGGTCTGGGTCCTCCTGGTCAGCTGAGAAGGGCTGGAAGGAGCAGCAGGCTGATAGGGTTGCCAACCCCCAGGTGGCACCTGGAGATCTCCTGCGCCAGGCGACCAAGATCAGCTCCCCTGGAGAAAACGGCTGCTTCAGAGGGGTGGACTCTGTGGCATTATACCCCGCTGCGGTCCCTCTCCGAACCCCGCCCTCCCCAGTCCCCACCCCCCAAATCTCCAGGTATTTCCCAACCCAGACCTGGCAACCAGTGTTCCCTCTAAGCTGAGTTAATGTGAGCAAGCTCACAGTTTTTTAGCCTCTGGCTCACACATTTTTGTCTTAGCTCAGGAAGGATGGCTCCAGAGCCAACTGATTTATGCAGCAGCCAAATTGTTCACTCACAACTTTAATGCTAGGAGCTCACAAAGTAGAATTTTTGCTCACAAGACTCCACAGCTTAGGGGGAACATTGCTGGCAACCCCACTGATCACAGAGCCTCTGGGTACGCAGCTCTTCCAGGCCAGGCAAAAGTAGTTTACGGTGGGTTTTGGATTTGCGCTGAAGGAAAGGGGAGCTTCTTTCTGGATCAGGAAGGGTTTCCTCGAATGCCGATGAAATGTCCCTTCACGTTCGCCAGACACCTAATCCCCGTAATGGAGAAATGGCACTCTGCTCTTCCCATTCCGGGCTCATTGGAACTTCTGTAAGAAGCACCAATCTCTCGGGGCAGGAGTGTGTCATGAGTTGAGTCCATCCTTGGTTTAATTTGAGGATCACGTCGATCGATTTGTGTGCTCTGCCCTCCCGGTTTGTTGGGAAGAAGGGCTCTGGTGCCAGCAGAGAGGCGTGTTCCTCTAGGTCAAAAGAGCGGTGGAAACGGGCTTTTCCTCAAACACCGTTGAGTGCCTCTGTTGCTCGAAGGACGGAGCATGGGTATGTACCAGGCTTGTCTGTTTCAGTGGGGCTGGGGAAGGCTTTCTGACCGCGTGTCTGATTTTGGCCGTGCCTCCTGTTGGAAACAATTGGTAAAAATAGTTAGATATTCAGAGCTTGCAATGGATCTCCGTTCACCGGAGAGGAGGCGTATTCTTTCTATGTAAAAATCTTTTATTTCTAAAGGGAAGGGTACACGGGAAACCTACAAAACAACAATCACTTAAGACTACATCCTTACTGTTTGGTGTAGTGGTTAAGTGCGCGGACTCTAATCTGGGAGAACTGGGTTTGATTCCCCACTCCTCCACTTGCACCTGCTGGATGACCTTGGGTCAGTCACAAGCTCTGGCACAGCTGTCCTTGAAAAAGAGCAGTTTGTGTCAGAGCTCTCTCAGCCCCGCCCACCTCACAGGGTGTCTGTTGTGGGGAGGGGAAGGGAAAGGAGTTTGTAAGCCGCTCTGAGACTCTGAGTGAAGGGCGGGGTATAAATCCAATCTCTTCCTCTTCTTCTTCTTCTACTGTTACAAGTACAACAACAGACTGACCGATCACACAGATAGTAATGGAGATTCTTCTTCCTTCTTGACCCCTAGAAGGAAATCGCCTGAATACATTTAACCGATGATTGTGAGTAAATAGGCTCCAGTTTCCCGGGCTTTCTCCCCATTGGCTTTGTGCCAGGTTCCCTTCCAGGTCAGTCCAAACGATGGCACACAAGGTAAACACACTAACCCTGTAACCACTTAATTTAGACCTTGCAACACATGTGTTTCTAACACCTCCGAGCTGACAAAGGCCGGCTCTTCCAGTGCTCCTTGGCCTGGCCTTGAAGCCATCCAGTCTGGTATCGGCAGGTGGCGGATGCTGCCTCTTGAGCGCTTCCTGCCTTGAATGAAACCTCACAACTCAGCTCACATTCAGCCCAGAGCTCTTGGACCGGAGCCTCTGAACAAAGGAAGGAGCATGGCAAGGAGCTGGCTTGAGAAACTTGCAACAGATTTTTCGGCACTCCTCCACTTGCACCTGCTGATGTGACCTTGGGTCAGTCACAAGCTCTGGCACAGCTGTCCTTGAAAAAGAGCAGTTTGTGTCAGAGCTCTCTCAGCCTCACCCACCTCACAGGATATCTGTTGTGAGGAGGAGAAGGGGAAGGAGTTTGTAAGCCGCTCTGAGACTCCCTTGGGGAGTGAAGGGCGGGGTATAAATCCAATCTCTTCTTCTTCTTCTTCTTCCTCTGGCTCTAGATAGTCGTCGAGATCCTGGAAGGCGAGTCGGTGATCACGTGGGACTTCGACATCCTGAAGGGGGACGTGGCGTTCAGCCTCTTCCACTCCAAGCGGGCCCCCGAGACGAGCAGGAAGGAGGCGGCCGTGCCCAACGCCCTGACCGCTGGGGAGAATGTCCAGCTGATCGGCAAGAGTTGGGTCCTGGGGGTGGACTACAGCCGCGTGGAGTCCCCGCTGGTCTGCCGGGAGGGCGAGAGCATCCAGGTCAGTTGTGCTTTCCCCCTCCTCTCTGGGACCTTTGTGTCTTAATCGATGTGACGGCGTTAGACCATCTTGAGGGCCTTCTGCTGCTTGGAGGCTTGGAGTGTGGCAGGGTCAGTTACAGATGGGGCACCCATGACCGACTGCATTGTGCTACCTGTGGGGTGCCCCCCCTCCAGATTCTGTTTCTGTGGATTATTATTATTATTACCCTCTTAGCATGCAAAAGGATGTGCCACTTTTGTGGCATTCATCCTCGTACCCACTGGTAGTCGCTGTTTGTCATTTTAGATGCAGGAAACCGGGGCTTGCTCTTGAGCTAATGGCCGTCTGTGGATCGGAATCCACGTTTGCCACGCTGACGCCCAGCACACTCTGTCATCCGCAGAGGTTCCGGCTGTCCCTGTTAAATACGTTCCTTGCCAGGCAGTGTGAAAAAGCAAAAACCTGTGGCAGAAGGATAAGCGAGACTTGGCCTCTCTGTTTGGTTCTCTCTCCCATAAGGCTTTGTGTGACTGGCCGTTGCTATAGGTCTCTCTCAGGCCTGACAATGCCTCTGTTCTGACAGTGTACTCTGCCCCAAAGAATAGCTTACATTCCCAGGAGGCCATGGTAACAGCCTCACGAGGTCTAAACATCTAGATGTCAGACTAGGTGACCTTATTTTTCCCCAACAGAACCCCACTTTGAAAACTCCTGCTCTGTGACACAGAGAGCCCCTTAATTCTGCAATGTGTGGCAGAGGACTGTGGGACACGTCCTCCTACGGTTTAGAAGAACATTCCCCACGTCTTCCCTTTGCACTTGGTCAACTGAGAGCACCACTTCAGACACCCTGAGCACTCCTTTGCAGCTGCGGGGTCAAGGGAAGGCCGGTTGTGGTGCCCCAGCTGTTGTGGTTGTTGCCGAGGAGCCCTGATTTTGCTTCCCAGGAAGCTCAGAGTTCCCTGGAGCCCAGCTGGAAAGCCACTGTCTGTCTTAGAGGTTCAGGTGGCCTGCAAAAGGCAGAACATCCTAGGTATGGAATAGGCCCAGTGAGGTGGGAAATGAACCCCGACTGCCATCTGTAGGTATCGATTTCAGGTCACTCTTGATTTTTTTTTAAACCTTATTTTTCTTTTCACTGTCGGATTCCAAGTAACATAGACAGCTTTCGAAACGGCACAGCCTCCCATTACGTCCCCGTGACTCTCCTTTCTCTGGCTCTGTCGCTTTTCCAGGGCTCCCACTGTGGTTGTTGCCGAGGAGCCCTGATTTTGCTTCCCAGGAAGCTCAGAGTTCCCTGGAGCCCAGCTAGAAAGCCACTGGCTGTCTTAGAGGTTCAGGTGGCCTGCAAAAGGCAGAACATCCTAGGTATGGAATAGGCCCAGTGAAGTGCGAAATGGACCCCGACTGCCATTTGTAGGTATCAGTTTCAGGTCCCTTTTGATTTTTTTTAAACCTTTTTTTTTTTTACTGTCGGATTCCAAGTAACGCAGACGGCTTTCGAAACGGCACAGCCTCCCATTACGTCCCCGTGACTCTCCTTTCTCTGGCTCTGTCGCTTTTCCAGGGCTCCCACGTGACTCGCTGGCCCGGCTTTTACATCCTCCAGTGGAAAATGCACAGCCCTGTGGCCTGCGCGGGGAGCAGCCTTTCTCGGGTGGACGACGTCTTAGCCTCCCTCCAAGTCTCTAACCACAAGTGCAAGATTATGTATTACTACGAGGTGCTCGCCTCCAAGGAGTTCAGGTAGGAGGGGAGAAGCCACTGCCTCACTTGCAGTGTTTAGTTATGTTATCTACAGACCGCCTCTCTCACATGGAGTCGTGGCGGATTATGCAGAGTGAGTCAGTACAGTCGGCAATGTGGGATGTTCAGTAACCAACGCATCAGGACTGTAGAAGTCTGGAGTAAGGATGTGCAAAAAAAAATCAAAATTGACCCATTCGGATTCAGCTGAATCGGGCCGAATGTGATTCGGCCAGCCGAATCACATTCGGCTCAATTAGAGGTTTGGGGTGAGGTTCCTATCCCTTCAGTGAAGGGAGCATGCCGCCTCTGAGCTCGTTTGGTATCACCCTGGTTTTATAGCTGACTAGCAAATAGGTGCCAGAAAGTTGATGCTTAGGGACTTTATTTACTAACGTTACATATAGTCCGCCTCTCTCACATGGAGTCGTGGCGGATTACGCAGAGTGAGTCAGTACAGTTGTCAATGCGGGACGTTCAGTAACCAACGCAACAGGACTGTAGAAGTCTGGAGTAAGGATGTGCAAAAAAAAAAAAGATCCATTCGGATTCAGCCGAATCAGGCCGAATGTGATTCAGCCGGCCGAATCACATTCAGCTCAATTAGAAGGGGAGGGGGGAGGTTCCTATCACTGAAGGGAAGGCAAATTGCCTTCCCTTCAGTGACGGGAGCGTGCTGCCTCTGCGGCGCAACTGGAGTTTTTAAAGTTCAGATCCCACCCCCCCCAGTTGCGCCGCAGAGGTGGCACGTTCCCTTCCCTTCAGTGAAGGAGCCCACTGCCCTCCAAGCTAGACCCCCTGCCTTCCCTGGTCTTCCTGTCGAAGCTGGCGAGCCAGGGAAGGCCTGGAGTGAGCCCCCCGCCTTCCCTGGCTTGCCCACCGTGGGCAGGCCAGGAAAGACCCTCACCCAGCAAAGGGATTCCCCGAATGGATGCCGAATATACGGTATCCGTTCAGGGAATTCCTTTTCGGCCAGCCGAATTACATTAGAGAATCTGATTCGGCTTTCGGCAAGCCGAATAATGCTGAATAGGCATTATTCGGGGGGTTTTCCAGTTCGTCCAAACTGAATGCACATCCCTAGTCTGGAGCCACCAGAAAGACACAGAAGTATACCACAAGTATTCACAGGCTGTACAGAAACGACATAATAGGATCCTTTTTTATTTTTTTTGCATGCCATCAAGTTACAGCCAATGCTCCCTCTAAGCTGTAGAGTCTTGTGAGCAAAACTATTTTTTGAGCTCCTGGCATTAAAGTTGTGAGCGAGCGATTTGGCTACTGCAGACATTAGTCTGTTCTGGAGCCACGCTTCAAAAATGTGTGAGCCAGAGGCTAAAAAACTGTGAGCTAGCTCACACTAACTCAGCTTAGAGGCATCAGTGGTTTCCAAGGCAAGAGATGTTCAAATGTGGGTTGCAGTTGCCGGCCTCCACGTCACAACCCTGGCATTCCTCAGAGGTCTCCCATTCAAATACTAGTCAGGGCTGACCCTGCTTGGCGTCCGAGATCTGACGGGATCAGGCTAGCCTGGGCTATCCAGGGCCGGGCAGGAGCCTACCAACCACACACTGTACCCGGCAGTACAGACCATAGGCCCTAATCATTTATCCAAGTAAGTTTGTGGACCATTTTGTACGGTGCAGCTCTTTGACCCGCACGGGAAAACTCTCCTGAATCATTCAGTTTTCCATAGCTTGTGGAAGGCCAGGAGAGTGGGAACTTTCCTGACCTCCGTGGGCAGGATGTAGTACATAGGTACTACGTGAAGTGCCTCTCGAACAGAATGTGGTTGTTCTGGCAGCTGGCCTGCTTTCCCCAATGAAACCTCTCTGGCCTAAATCCAGTGCAGCGTTGCGCTAATCGTGTGGACGTGGCTCAGAGTCAACCCCAGGACAACGCACTGTCATTTTGTTTCCTGCTCGGGAAGCGGCCTCGTGAGCTCAGCCCTCCAAGGGGGCAGCCCGCTGACCTCACAAGGCCCGAGCTGCTGCCCTCGCTCTCTCTGGCCTCGTCCCTGACATGTGTCATACGGCCTAAGACATCCGAGGTCTTCTCAGGTGAATTGGCGTTAACCCCAAATCCCGTTAGAGGTAATCCCGGGAGCCTGGCCGTGGAGGGGGCCAAAACAGTCGCTTGAACTATGACTGCATTGCCAGATTCCCCTTTCCACAGAGTATGTGAGAAGAGACCCTTATTGTGCTGCCTTTAATTCTGAGAACAAACACCCCACTGGGATTTTCAAAAGTGCCGTGATTGCAAAGGGGTGGACGTTTTGTTCTGTTGTAGCAAAATACGCTTAAAAGACTGAGGATGGAATTCACATCCACCTCTCTCTGGTCCTTCCCGCACTTGGATCTCATCCCTGGTTTGATCAGAGTTCAACTCGTGACACAGTACCTAGCATTTGTCCCTGGTTATAACAGCATCCCTTTATCCCGGGACAAGTGAAACCGGGGGTGACCCGTTAACCCCAAATCCCGTTAGAGGTAATCCCGGGAGCCCGGCCGCGGAGGGGGCCAAAACAGTCGCTTGAACTACGACTGCATTGCCAGATTCCCCTTTCCCCAGAGTATGTGTGAAGAGACCCTTAGGTCTGCCTTTAATTCTGACAACAAACACCCCCATTGGGACTTTCAAAAGTGCCGTGATTGCAAAGGGGTGGCCGTTTTAGTCCGTTGTAGCAAAATACGCTTAAAAGACTGAGGATGGAATTCACATCCACCTCTCTCTGGTCCTTCCCGCACTTGGATCTCATCCCTGGTTTGATCAGAGTTTAACTCGTGACACAGTACCTAGCATTTGTCCCTGGTTATAACAGCATCCCTTTATCCCGGGACAAGTGAAACCGGGGGGGACCCCAGTGTAATGTGGAAACAGAAAATACCCCAAGATAATTACAGGGGTGAACTCGCTTGTAGTGTAGAATGTAAAAATACCCCGAGGTAACTACAGGGGTGAACTCGCGTGTAGTGTAGAATATAAGTTCGGGGACAGGGTGGAACCAGGATTTAAGGTCCAGTGCGGAAACGACCTCTGTCTCCTCCTCTATCCCTCTTCCTTGCAATCCACCTGTTAAATAGAATCCCTGGTTTGCTTTCCCTCTGCATATCTGAGGAAGCGGGCTGTGGGTCACAACAGCCCCTTTTGCAATGTTATTGGGTGTTATTAGTCTTTTGGATGTTATTAGTCTTCAAGGGGCCCCTGGAATTCCCCCCCCCCCAATTTTAGTTTTAAGAGTATTATGACCAGCTTCTTCTGAGCCTTGTCGAATCAGAGGGCTTTTTGTTCGATCGCCGTGCACGCGCGGCACAGTATGACGAGCTCCGATCAGCCCTCGCTGAGGAAAGTCATCTTGAATGGAGCTGGGAGGTTTCCCAGGTGTCGGTTTAATTCTCATAGGATGTCTCAGATGCTGGACAGGGTCCTGCCGCTGAAGGGAGCAAGCAGGCGACAACATTCGCCCACAGACAAGCCGCTTGCATCTTTTCATGGCCTTGGGGTATCATTAAAGGCTCTGTGGTAACAGTCGGTTCTGCTTCCCTCCCTCCCTTCCTCCTTCCCAGGGGTTCCATGTCAAGCCTGGAATCTTGCAACAGCGGCTTTTCCCAGCTCAGCGGCGTGACGACCTCTTCCAACCAATCGCAGAGCAGCTCGCTTATCTCCAGATAACAGCATCCAGGCGAGCACGGAGCAGTCGCCCACCGGGCCCAGATTGTCTTCCTCAGGTCTGCCCCATGGACCGAACCAAAGAGCCAAACGGCGGTGCCGAGGGAACAGCCTTTCAGGAGTCGGAGAAAAACACCAACTTGGACGCAGAGATATTTTCCGGGGGATCTGCTTGAAATCTCTCTCTTTTTCCAAGGAACGGACTTGCGAGCTTCTAAACAGTGAAGACGGGCGTTCCTGGACTGTTGTGCGAACACACCTGTGCATTAGAATGCATATCACTTTCTTCTTTGCATGAATTGTACATAACTCCTATGGTTAAAGGGCTCTCTCCAGTCAGTATAACTCTTTGTAACCGCAGAGCTATCCGATGTCGCCTTACCCGTTAGGACCTGTAGAACTGTCCTCACGTGTAGCAAAAAACAACAACAATCCTAATGTGGTTTTTCGGGGGGGGTGCATCAGCCACGCCTCTTGGGTTTTCAACAAGGCACAAAAGCTCTCTCAGTCGCAGGGATAAGACTGATTCTGCTAATATGTACATAAATGGATGCGGGTGTGGAGTGGGGTGGGTGGGGGTGGGAGGGGGAGGGGAAGAGACATATTTCCAGGTTCCTTTGAGTAGGAAACATATCTCGGAGTTTAGATGCCTGGATATATATCGCTAGCTAATTTTAACTTTGGCGTCTCTGAGAAGGCCCAAATCACATAGACGCAAGTTTTCCTACAGTGCACTGAAATGGCTTCTTTCTTAAAGGAGTAGCACTGATTTCCAAACCCCCGCGCCCCCCGTTTCCCTTTTTTTCCCTCAGGTCTACGAGCAATAAAATGAGTATATCCCTACCCTGCCCCCTTTTCTCAGGGTAGGAAGCCGACTGCATCACAAAAGGGCTAAGCAAAGCAATATTTAATTTCCTTAGGCACAAAAAAGCTCTTACACAGTGATTGGGGGGGATCGTTTTTGATAGCGGGCGCTAACTCAAGTTTTTTGGGGGGGGGCAGGCACTTTAAGCGTGTGTGCGAGGGGTCGGTGCGTATGTATGAAACTTAAAACTCTTAAGGACATATTTATTCAAACAACTCGAAGGTTTAAAATTAATAACTTATTTATATCATTTTATAGGTGCAACTAAGCTATTTATTACGGAGCCTCCCCTTTTCGTGCACTCAGGTGTTTGGGTTGGAAAGGGTCGCGTGCGCGCATGTCTGTGTCCCAGCCATCTTTCATTTTTTGCTCTTTTGCCGCCGCCGCACGGACTCCTTGCAGGATAACTCTGGGAGCATGGGACCGTGTTACGAGGAATTCCACGCACAGCTGTCCGTTTAATATCTTGAATTTAGTGAGGGTTGGACGTGAACTGCTTTCGCCACCGAGGACTGGAACGCGCAAGGCCCCCCGGTTCCATTTTTAGATGCAAAAAAAGACCACGTCGCTGACCGCACAAGCTTTGGAGTCGGAGGGCCTTGATTTACAGAGGCGGCGACTCCAGGAAGGCGACGTACCTACAGAAGAAAAAGGAGCAAGGCATGGGAAACGAGTTCTCGACCAGTTTTATCTTTGCTTCCCTTCATTAGGGATGGTCGCTCCACTAAGCCGGGAGTCGAGCTCGGCGGGATTCCAAAACGACTTTGCTTGCTCTCTCGCGTGTTTGTTCAAGAGCTCACTGTGCAGGCTGGGGCGAGGAGGTGAAGCCATCAGGGACCGGTCACTTCCACAAAGTGCGTCACAACTTGTGCCGATTCCCCGTGTAGAGGGGCCGCAGGGAATTAGCTGTCCGAGCTCGTCTCGCAAACCCGCATCCCCAGCAGTTGTCTTGAGGAGGAGGCTGGAACACGCAAATCCCCTCGCCAGGACACTCTCCGTACCGCCAAGCTCATCTGTTGCAGCCCTCCTGTCTTTTAAAAAAACGTTACAGACGGTGTTTGGAGCACATAAACGCAGCCAGTGGAGGAAAGAGCCAAGCACACTCAGAGACCTGGCCGTAGCTGCTTTTCCGCTCGTGATAGCAGCCTTTCGAGGCTGCTTTTCCCAACTAGGAGAGATGCTGCATGTAGCCGACTACGAGTTGGGTCCTCAATGGAAGAGATTTCCAGTTCTCTGTGGAATAATGGCACAATTAAGAGAACACTTCCGATAATGCCCGTGCTCTGTGCTGTCTTTTTTTTTTTTTTTAAAGCCAAATGCAGCTGTTCACTTTCTGGAGCTGCACCATGAATAGTATTTCCCAGCAGCGCTGAAGTTGGATGCTTAGAGGGGATGAGGCTACAGAGGCTTCCCATAAGGACGAAGAGGGTCTCCGGAGAGCCAGTCTGGTGTAGTGGTTAAGTGCGCGAACTCTAATCTGGGAGAACCGGGTTTGATTCCCCACTCCTCCATGTGCAGCTGCTGGTGTGACCTTGGGTCAGTCACGAGTTCTGTCAGAGCTGTTCTCTCACGAGCTCTCTCAGCCCCACCTACCTGCCAGGGTGTCTGTTGTGGGGAGAGAAGGGGAAAGGAGATTGTACATTGCTCTGAGACTTCTTCAGGTGGTCAAGTGTGGGGTATAAATCCGATCTCCTCTTCTTAAAGTATGCAGACTGTGAATTGCCTCGACGATTGCCTCGACAAGAGTGAACAGAAGCCACTTGCTATGTAGGTCACCTTTCAGTTATGAAATCCCAGTGCGTATGTTCCCCCCTCCCAATAACAAATCCCGTGATTCAAAGACCTATTCTGAGCCATAAAATGAAGGTGGCAGTCTTACAAAGGTGTTGTTATTCCTCCCAGCCGAATTCTTAAGGTTTTTTTCCCCCCTTTCAGATGTCCGAGTGCCTAGACGCGGGCCGACGCCCATCTGTAAGATCTGGCAGGCCTTATCCCGGCCCCTGATCTGGAACAGTACGTCTTGTGTGAAGGGGGTGGGGCTCGCGCTGTGCAGACACGGCAGTCCAGTTTGCTTTCAGAGGGTCTGTAGGGAGATGGATGGATCTGCCTTCCCAGGACTGGGGCTGTCCGTGGGAGAAACGGCAGCTCCGGAGGCTGGGGCACAGCAAGCATGAACAGCACTGCTACTGCCCCCCCCCCTTGCTTGGGATTCGCATTAGCACAGCTTGGCATTTGGGGAGAACTTGGGCCCAAGATGGAAGGGCAGGGCAGCTGGTTTTTTTGCAGATATTGAGGCTCGCTTGGTGACTCTGGGGACTCAATGCGAATAGTTATTCTTTGTCTTTAAAGGGCTGTGTTTTCTCTTTATTCTTCCCGTCACTTGAACAGTAGTTTCTGAGGGCAGCCATGTAAGTCTGCAGAAGAAGAGCTGGGTTCGAGTCCAGTGGTGCCTTAGGGACCAATATTTTGGGGGTACGAGCTTTGGGCCCCCCCCCTTGCTTGGGATTCGCATTAGGCACAGCTTGGCATTTGGGGAGAACTTGGGCCCAAGATGGAAGGACAGGGCAGCTGGTTTTTTTTTGCAGATATTGAGGCTCGCTTGGTGACTCTGGGGACTCAATGCGAATAGTTATTCTTTGTCTTTAAAGGGCTGTGTTTTCTCTTTATTCTTCCTGTCACTTGAACAGTAGTTTCTGAGGGCAGCCGTGTTAGTCTGCAGAAGAAGAGCTGGATTCGAGTTCAGTGGTGCATTAGAGACCAATATTTTGGGGGTACGAGCTTTGACTCTTGTAAGCTAATACCCCGAAAATCTTGATGTGTTAGTCTGTCTGTAGCAGTAGAAAAGACCAAGAGTCAGGTCCAGCAGCACCTGAAAGACTAACAAAATATGTGGCAGGGGAGGAGCTTTTGTGAGTCACTGCTCACTTCTTCAGATGCAGCTAGAATGGGAGTCCATCTGTGCTATTTATTGGAAAGCGGGGAGATTTCAGATGCCGAATGACATTAGCAAGTGAATGACAATAGCAGGCAGGATTGGATTTAGGTGAGATATGCAGAGGGGTAGTAGGCGTGGAGAAATCAGCATTGGTAATGAGACAGGAAACCTAGGTCTCGATTCAGTCCAGGTGGATGCATCGCCTTGAGCTTCGTTATCAGTTGCAATTCAGCAGTCACAAATCTTGTCGGTCTGCGGGGCACCACTGGGCTCGAATGTAGCTCTTGAACAGTGGAAGTGGGTGTGAGTTGGCGAAATAACAGTCAAATGTTCTGTCCGTGAGTTTTCCCAGCTTCTGTAAAACTAGGACTCCAAAAGGATATCACGTACAGGCCCACTTCTTCAGATCTAAAGAAGTGGGCGTGCACACGAAAGCTTACGCCCAGAACAAATCTTTGTTGGTCTTAAAGGTACCACCGGACTCAAACTTCCTTCTGCTGCTTCAGACCAAGACAACTGTCCACCTGAATCCAAAAAGACAGGTATCATTTAGCTGCATTTTCAGTTAATAGGAATCCTCTCTCACTGAATGTGAGCTGTTCTGTCAGGAGCAGCAAGGGTCAGGTGCTAGATGTGCTCTGTCCCAGGATTCCAGACCCCCTGCCCGGTCAAACAGCAACAAGAGATCACGTCTGGGCCCAGGTCACCTAGTGCGTTCATGGTTTGAACCCAGGCCTCACCGGTCTGAGTCTTAAACCCTGCACTGCCCTGGCGGGTAATACCTGCATGAAACCCTAAGCTCGCTCCCAGAAAGGAAGGCAAAATATGAAGCCACGCAGCTTGGGTGTCATTTTAGATCGTTTTAAGTTTAAGACGAGAGCATTCTCTTATCCCCCTCCTATGTATCATTCTGCCAACTCGAGGTATGCAGTATTAAATGGGTATATTAGGTCAGCGGCTTCTAGATGGTGGTTCAGAAGGGCTTTGGCAAGGGAGTGTTCAACCAGAAGATTCGGAGGTGCCTCTGGAATGGGGATTCAGGTTTTGTTGGGCAGCTGTGGCGTTCTGCTGGTGTATCTCCAGAGGCTGATGGTGGTTCAGAAGGGCTTTGGCAAGGGGAGTGTTCAACCAGAAGATTTGGGGGTGCCTCTGGGACGGGGATTCAGGTTTTGTTGGGCGGCTGTGGTATTCTGCTGGTGGATCTCCAGGGACCGAGGAGGAGCCACTGTTGCAGGTCATCCTAGAAGCACAAACGGAAGGGAACGATAACCCCTTAGAATGGGGCTCTTCTGTATCTACATCCTGCAGAAGGAGACAGGATAGGCAAATTGGGCAGATCTGTATCGGCTGTCCTGACCCACAGAATTCCGACTGCGACATAGATATAGCTGTTCCTCCTCTAAGTGGCACAAGTTCGGGGGGAATCAAGAGAACTAGGAACGGGTGGTAGAGGGAGACACTACAGTAGGAATGAGAAGCTACGACTTAAGGGCAGGCTTCATTTCCCAGACACGGGAAGTCCAGGCCAGATAACCTCATTGGTACCCCGGCCTCCAGAAGATGCTGCGTCATCACAAGGGCTTTGAGCGCCGGTAGATCCCGGCACAGACCCTT